CTGCTGGCATAATGGGAATGTTGCTCGTATTGAATTTGATGTGAATGACATGGATTTCTACGTACATATGCATGTGCAGACGAACAAATGTATGTATGTTTATGTACATAAGAATGTTCAGGCAAAGAATGTGTCAATTCGGCAACAGCATGTGAATGAGTATGAATGTGAATGGGGTGTCCCAATACCACTAGAGTTGTTTAGACTCTTCCCTTTTTACAATATTGTTTTTTTTTTCAAATTTCACTATAGGTATGCTAGAATGACAAAAAACGCTGAATTACGTAAACTTAATTTTAGGTCGTAGATTATGGTTCTATATACCGTTTTTCTAGATCAGGTCAATAAGAAAAATGCAAACTTTAACAAGGAAAAAACTTAAACAATTGAGGATTTTTTTTGCAAATTCCTCTGATCCGTATTAAAGTCTGTTCTTTTACAAAAGCATCGTGCTCTCAACGAAGAAAATTTATTGATTAATGGCCAAATGAAAATGCGTAATAATCTTTTTTTTTGATGAAATATGACTAGGGAAAAATATTACTCATAGGCCATGTGATGAAAATACTTTTCCCATTATACCTCACAAGTCTAAGTCTGTATAAAACTTTTTTAAAGTTTTTTTTTTTATTTGTATTGAAATTTTTTGTAATTTTAACCGTTTTGTCATTCTATGTTATTTTCTTCAAAAAATAATATATGTAAAAAAAAATATTTTATTCATATAAAACTAAATTTTTAGAAGTCTTCAAATATAATAGATAATTTTTGTAATCCTCGCGGAAAATATTTCTAATTTACATATTTTTACTGATGTCTGTAGATATATTCATGAAAAATTATTACCTTCAGTGAAATACCGGGTGATCATTTTCCGCAATGTTTGCATTTCATTGATTTCCAAAAAAGGAGGAAGAATATTTTTTTTATATTTTTTTTATGTATGTTACCGCATAACTTTGGACCACGTCAACCGATTTCTATAATTATTTTTGCATCGGAAAGTTAGTATCTCACTCAGAGGTGGTCCCATACTAATCTGGTTAAGATCCGATCAGTGGATCATGAGATATATATATATTTATATACTTTTTTAGATGAGAGTTGAAGTCGGTTTTTTTGCTAAAAATTATTTGTTTCGTATATTGACAATTTTTATCTCGACTGGTGAATACCTTTATTATATTTGGAACACAACACGTAAAATGATCACAGAAAGCGTTCACACTCAGTAAAAACGGACGGGAATTGATCAATCGCTATTCATTCACTGATGCTAGCTGGCATTTGCTGCAGGCGTGAATCATTGCCGTAGTTTAGTATCGTATTAATTTTAGGTCGAAGTATTTTGGTTATTCCGAGAACGATGTTGTTGTTACTCTAATTGACATTTACAAATTAAATTTGTTTAGCATCCCTGATTCATAGGAAGAAATCGTTATTTTTGCGATATCAAAAGGCTAAGTTTGTTCTTCGTAACAAATTTCTAAGATAAATTACGTTTAATCCACGAAGTCATGTAAAAGTTGTTTTGTATGAATTACTGCAGAACTTTAAGGCATTCGAAAATTTTTTAACCAACTTCTGCGTATTATTCGACATAGCTATCACCTTCACTAGGTCTTTTTAAGATTAAATTTTTACTGTTACACAGTGTTTTTTTTTTGCGGGAAAGCACCTTAGCCTAAAATTTACATCTCTTTCCAAATATGAACTTTTGCGGGCCATGCTAATGATTTTCTGGACAGTCTTCGAGCTCTCGTGCTACACTGAGAATACTCAAAATATGTTGCCGCTAACTTTGCTAGAAAAAAATTTAGTTTTTGTGGGCTGGTTGAAAAATTAACCAAGGATTTTACTTATGTTAAAACCTAATAACAATAAGTATTACATAAATTGAATATGTGCTCTCGTCAGCCTACTTACTCGCTCTTATGTCAGGAAGAAAATGCTAAAGTTTTCAAAGATATATTAGATCATAGTTTAAAATGATTTGCCAGCAGTAATATACTTCATTTTATAAAAACGTTTTCCGGGAGCACCCTTTATAAATTACATTCCATATATCTATCTACGTAGTACGTACTATGTGCTTTTCAAATCTTTTGTTTTCTCCTCCAATTTTGGTTTTGCATGAACTAACTCACACTTACTAGTATGCACCCTTGAAATGCTTACAGATGTACATACATATGTATACACTATTACTATTTCATTCCATATTCCATACATAAGAGTATATGTATTTGCACTTTCCGGTGAAAACACGGCACTGTTTGATTTTTTTTTCCAAACTCCAATGTACTTCAAGAAGTGTGTATTCATCACATTTTTGGAGTATAAAAGTAGTTTGTTTTATCCGAAATTGTAGAGGTATTATATACATATATTCTGTGTTCATATGGAAAAGTAGCTTATGTCGAAAGGCTGGCTTTAGTATAAATCGGCATTCGTAGCATACGATTGCGAATGACTCACTGGCGCTGAGCTGTTGTAGAACTTTTGGAAAATAAACGTGCAAGAAGTAGTTCCGATACTAGCAAGTCAATATTCTTATTAAGTCTAATCAAAAAATTCCTTGCCGTTTAAAGAGTAAAGGGAATGCCTCATTATACTAAAGCCAGCCTTTCGACATAAGCTACTTTTCCATATGAACACAGATATAAAAAACTTCAAATTAGTTTGCAATATGTTTGAAAAATAAACGAAACAAGTCTTAAATTTGTTCGAAATTTTTAATGTAAATCATTATCATTTATTGCATACACAAACTGACAACTAAAGTGAGTTGAAATTTGTGGAAAATATGATTTTATTTCTAGTATAAGTCCTACTACCTTATGGAAGTTGACGAGCAATTAGAAGAAGCTTTTAAACCTGAAACAAATGTTGAGATTAATAAGAAAACGCTACTGCTGCACACAAAAAGCGTACAACAAGGCTGTATTTTCTTCAAAAACGGTTTAGTCCAAAAAATATTGCTGTGATATTAATTCGAACAGCTAGGGTTATTAAATATCTTAACCCTTCTGCACGAGTTCAGAACCACCCAGTGTAAACAAACTGTGGATCAAAATTACCCAACAGCAAAATGAAACTTTATTTCATACTTTTGACTAAAAAAATTCAAAATTTATTTCTTTTCTTAAGCATTTAAGTCGCTCTCTTCGGCAGCATATGTCAAAATGGGACACAAAAGAATTTCGGGAAATAAGTAAGAAGACTGTGACCAAGCAAAGGGACTAAATTGTGTTCAACCTTTATGTGTTTACAAAAAAAAAACCATGCAAGACTTAACTAAAAAATATATGGGGCCCGGGACATAGAGATATTGCAGGAAACTACAGAACCGATCAGCTAGCCAGAAAAGGTACAAATTTTCCACTGTGTGACAACAAGAAAAGATTGGTATACCTATGGCAAACTACAAGTTAAGGATTAAGTACAACATTATTTAAGAGGCTAATAGGTCACAATCACTACGAAACATTTTTATAAAAAATTTCGCAACAACAAGTTTATTTAGGGGACTGAGCAAAAAATTTGCTATACTTATTAAATTTTTTGTTTATCGAGGTTCTTTATATCGAGTATTCACTGTACTTGTTTGTTTCGATGAACTCACTTATTATGGCCACAGTTCGCCCCTAGGATAAACTAAAGAAACATCAGCCACGAGGGAGCTGTAATTTCGACTACCCAACGACTGCTTCCATATAGAGAAGCCTCACGAATTTTTCTTGTCTAGGGAGGTTACTGGTTTGAAAATTTGCGGAAACTTTGACTCCATAACCAAAGCGAGATGATTTGGCCGAAAAAGTCCCAAGAGAATATCCAAAATCGCAAAAATTAGGCAAACGTAATTTGTGACACGTACAGTTCGAGGATGCGTGACAGATCAGGTGCAGGTGTATATGGTCCCGGCAGCAGACTACCAATTTCCTTGGGCAGGTGGCCCATAGTGTTCCAGGCTGAAGTTTTTGCAATTCTAAACTGCGCTAAATTAAATCTAGAAAAGGTGTTGAAAGGCCGCCTTTCTAGTTATCTTTACAGGTAGTCAGGAAGCCATGCGGCCCTCTCAAACTGGATGCTAAAATTCAAAGAGGTTAAAGACTGCTTTAGCACGCTTAGAATTTGTTCAGCTAAAAATAAAGTAACCCTTTGTGGGCCACTTTGAGAATGAAGGCAACGAGATCGCTGATGAGCTGGCTGGAGAAGGGTCCCCAGCTGCCTTCTTAGGGCCAGTATCATTCTGGTGGTCTTAGTTGGTCCTCTACGAGAACCATAATAACTGAGTGGCTCTTTTGCTACCCTTTCATTATATCAGATGTTGTTCAACTAAAGATAAATGACATCAGGCTATTCTTCGGGTACCTAACTGGGCCACAACCACCTTCGATTACATCTGCACTGAATAGGTGTTATCGGAGGTTCAGAATGCCGGATCTGCATTAAGAACGAGGCTAGACAAAGATTCATTTATTTAAAAGGTCCAGTTTTTAAACCGTTAAGAAAGGAACCCGTTGATAGTCGGGTTTAAGATTCATTAGGGAAGCCGAGGGTGTTATGGGAATACTGGGTTACGGTTGATCTTTAAAGATGCAAAATACCTTTTACGTCATAGTGTCTCTTGTTCTTATCTTATCTTTGCTTAGACAGCTAAGGAAAACCACAATTGAGGGTGTACTAGTATAAGAAAAAATGTCGTAAAATGCCAAATGTATATAAAAAAAAATCAAAAGTTTAAAGGTTCCAAGTCGATTACGTACTTATAGTCAAAATCTACTGTACCGCAACCGTAGAGATTTTACATGAAAAAAATCGCTTTTTCTTGTAGTATTTTCATTATAATAGAACCTGTTTTAATTAAGTAACTAAAATACTGAAGCAGATTGAGAATAACAACATCATTGTTCAACAACCCTTATCCTAGTTATATTTGAAATGGCAAATACTTATTTGCATAGATGTTTTTTTTTTGTGTGTAAATTTTCACTCACCTGGTGGCATAAAGCGACGACTTCCTACCGGCGCCTCAGCATATGGCAAGCCCAGATATTGATCAACGTCACGTAAACCTGTCGACGAATGAAAATTACGAGTGATGCCCATTAGGCGTCCCTGTTTGATGTTTATCTCTTTGGTGTATTGTAGTTTCTCGGGCACAATGTGACGCCGCTCATTTGTGTGCAACACTTTATTGTATTTATTACGAGTGTTGTTGTTGTTGTTGTGCTTGTTGCCATTAGTGTTATTATTATTGCTAGTATTACTGGCTCCCACAGCTGCTAGTTGAACTGAAGTGTCATCAGCAAAATTAGAACTTAAGGCAACCTCAACAGTAGCAGCCATAACAGCAGCTTCAGCACTCTCGGCAATGCCGGCACTCGAAGGAAGCGGCTGCTCGACAGGATTGAGTTTGTTGCCATTGTAATTAATTTCAATGTGGTTGTTATTAGTATTCTTTATGTTGCCTACATTGTTCATAGTTTGCTTGTTATTATTTAGGCCATTGCTTTCGTTGTTACTACTGCCACTGCTGCTGCCGACTTCACGCTCTATTTTGTCCAGCATTTCAACACTACGAATATTAGTTTCGAAACCCTCATTGCTGCTGTTTTTAGCTGCCGATTCAACAGCTGCATCATTTGCAAATAATTTTGCTACATTCGCTTTAAAATCGTACGCCAAATGCTCGGAGTTGACGAGATTCTTGGAGTTTTTTAAATTTCTCGCATTCAACTGCTTGCCGCCAAAGCTTACCGTTGCCGTGGTAATGGAAGCGTTAGCAAACGGAATTGGGGTCGTCACTGTGGTCGATTCCATGTTCAGCGCCGCTACTTTTCGCATTCTTCGCATTCTACTGATTCTTGCTTTGACTGTGTTGGTGTTGGTGTTGGTGAAGCTTTTATTAGCATTATCTTTACTTTGCTCAATGCTTCCTGCCTCCAGTGCTCCAGTGACGTTCGTGTACGAATATTTCGAATGTGACCCATTGATATCCGCGCTGGGCTTACTGATTGGCACTTTGCTGTTATCCTCTGCCGCCAGGCGTCCTTCACTTTCGCTGTCAGCTTCCGTCGACGTCGGCGGGGCGGCTGGCATTTCCTGCTGCTTGTCTGATTGTGTAGGCATTCCGGCTGCACTTTCTGTCACCACATCGCCCACCACTTGCCGCTGGGTAGTAGTCATCACTGTCACTGTACAACTTGTAATAGCTTTTTTTATTGCATCAGTTTCCACCGGCTGTTGCTGTTCCACACTGCAATCATTGCCCGCTTGCAGCTGCCTTTGTGGCGTACGATTTTGGAATATTTGAATGTTTTGTTGTTGTGCAGCGTACAGTGTTGCCCCCGAGCAGCCATCACCATGTAGGCGATGCTGTTGCATACTGAGAAATGTCAGCAAAAATAGCCAAACCGCAGCATAGCTAGAATAACAGCGCCAATGCCAACAACGTCGGAAATACATTTTGGGGCACGCGTCGCGCGGCACAGTTCGGCTGGTGGTGTTGGTGTGAAAGCCTTCAGTCACTTTGTACTTGGTATTCGTAGTGCTGCCGGCTGGTGATGCTTTGCGTCAATGGCAGCTTTCGAGGTCACTATTTTGAATGGGCGCACAGCAGATGCTCAGTTTTTTTTGCTATTGTTTGTGGATTTTTTTGTTACACTGCTATTTTGTGATGCAGATGCTTTGTGATTATCTGCGCTACTTTTTTTTGTTTTGTTTTGTTTTGTATTTGTTTCCTAGGCTTTATTATTTTCGTTTTCTTATTTTGGTTTAGTTCGATTTTATTATTGCTTTTTGGCTTATTTGCTTTTCACTGTTTTCTTCAGCATATGTTTTTTTCAGTGTGAAACTTTTCCGTTTTATTTCGTAGCATCGGCACATCACTGTCACGTCCAAATAGCGCGGAAATTCCGTTTTCGTTTTCATTTCACTATTTCTATTTTTGTACTGCATATCGTTTATTTTTATTTATTTTTTCTATCTTTCGTTGATTTTGGTTTCCGTTTTCACATTTTGTGCACTTGCGAAAAGTTTCATTGATTTGCTATGACTTAGACCAAATGGCTGTTGTTGGTGTTGTCATGATATTATTTAAATATTTGTACTCTTTTGGGATTTCCTAAAATCAATGTGAATGAAGAGTAAATTTTCAAACTTTTCACTAATTCTGAGTGCTTCTCAAAATAATTATTCATTGGAAGAAGATTAATGCGTTTGGTAATTTGTATCAGTGGCGTAGTTCTAGTTTTGTTTAAATATTTGTACGCGTTTTATATGTACGCTTGGTTAGATTGAATTCTGGAAAATTAATAAGAAGTATTGGCTTTTAAGTTATATACTATTGCACGAGTGTAAAAAAAAAGAAAAAAGAAAATTTCTTGGTATAACTATAATCAACTTCCCCAAAAAAGGATAAAATATTAATTAAAGAAATGTTAAAAAAACACTAGCTATTTTCCCGGACCTCAACCCGCCTGAAGTTCAGTTTTACGTTATAATTACAAAAACAACAAAAACGAATTGAATTGTTTCGCCCGAAACAGTAAATTTTGTTAAAAAAAATGCTTATTATCTGAAAGTTTCAGAATTATGGTAAATTTTTCGAATTTCCACAGAACTAATTGTTTCAATATAAAAAAAAACACAGTTTAATGTGGTCATAAAAAGATGCACAAACTGATAACGCCTTGGACTTTAATGGTAGCTGCCGAGTCACACAGCATAGCGGCATAGTGGAAAGTCAAAATTTCATTTATTTTTAAATTACTTTATGATACTTGCAATACATTCCTGACAATACATAAGTATATTAAGATAAAAAATAACATTTATTTAAGAAATAAACATTTCAGTCGTTATGATGAAACGTAATTTAAAATAGCAATATTTACTTACAAATATTTACATAATGACAAAAGGTCTTTATAAACCGAAAATTACACTTTTTTCTGTAGATACAGAGGTCAGAATGCAATTTATTTCCCTATTAAGGTAAGTAAATTTACACTGAAAATTAGTCGTTTCAATTTGTTAAAAAGAAAGATATTAAAGAGTAGGAAAAGTAAAGGCCGCTGAATGCCGTTATGCAAATACTTACATATTATTTTTTAAGCCTTCGGAAATTAATGGGTTAAGTTGGATAGCCATGTCTTACCAGTGTTGCCAACTTGTGGGATTTTGTTTCTCATTTCAGTCATTGTTATTTCTTTTTATTCAAAATATACGGAGCATTCCAGCGTAGCGGATGGGACTTTTAAGCTCGTTTTTCCTAAAATTTTAAGTAATTTCTCTTTATCCCTTAATTTGACGAGTTTCAAACTGAGCATCTGAATTCAGATATCAGTTTAACAGGAAGCTAATAAAGTATAAAACTTGATTATAAAATTAACTCAGAAAATTTTAATTTTCCAAGGATTGAGGGCTGCAACAACGCCGACACTCGCCTATCTGATTTGATGGACTCGTTTCCCAATTTTAGACAATTTTTTGTTTGAATACTTTTCCTCGAAAGCACCCTTTTTTCCTCTAAATGACCTTCGAAGTTTGCCTTGGACTCTTGTCATTTACAGGTTGAAAAAGGCACTTCCAAGAAAAAATATACAAAACAAAAGTTGCGTATTTATGTATGTCCACAGAATCCGAATCTGTAGTGAAAGAGAGATGCAAGTGTAATAAAAAAAAAAAGAAAATTGACTTTCGGTTAGTTTAACCCACTTACGGTGGGTTACGACATTATAATTCATATTTTTTCATTTGCCAATAAAAAACACTTTCACTCGTTTAAGAAGTTCAGAACGAAAAGGTCATTTAGAGGTTGAAAAAGGGCTTCAGAGAAAAAAAGTATCAAATTAAAGTTACGTATTTTTATCCACAGAAACCGACCCTGTATCAAAAACATATAATCTATTTTGGAAAAATGACTTCCGGTAATACCACCAAAAGATAGAGCAATCCTGATTTAGGTAAAATGTTTGCGGTTTTCAATAAAAAATATTTCGCTCCATTTCAGAAGGGGGAGGCCCCCTTGTTGTCTAGGACACCCTGTATAATTACTTTACGCCAGTAGCAAGGATCTGCCTGGATAAATACGAAAGAGTGTAGTATACATTTTATAACGCAACAGTCTGGCTTCGTAATTAAATGTTTTGGCTCAAATTCAAATGATGGGTACAAAGAAATAAGAAATCGGTTTGTATTTTTTTTTTGTTTAATCTTGTTTGTACATTTTTCTTCCTCGGAATAACTTGACAAAAAAAAATTACGATGGGCAGCGCAAGATTCGAGATATTCGGGAAACCCGTGTTGATGTTTCAATTCTGTTCATACAAAGTTTTTTTTTTAAATATATTTTTACTAGTGGCTTATTTCTACATTTCAATTCCAATTTCAATTTCAATTAATCAATTGAAATGTTTTACCACGTTTCTTGAAAAATCTATTTTTTTGAGTTGAGAAATAGTCATCCTTGATCTCACTAATTTCAAACATCTGTGTAACACATTTTTATTCAATTCACATAAATACCTATTAAAAGTTTGTACAGAAATCAAAATGCCCTAAAAAATTATTATGAAAATCACGGCAATTATCGACTTACAATTAACGACGAAATTTATTTTTCGAATAAACACATATGTAAATATTTAATGTGTAAGCATATGTGTAGTAAATATGTATTCAATAAATTTATTTTTTTTCAGAACGTACTTGTAATTTTTTTTTTCATTTATTGCATGCAACTTGCATACTATTTATTGTACAATTTAATGTTTTGTATTAAAATTAGTGTGCGCAAATTGCTTATTGCCTCTGAGCCAATTTATTCAAGATTTTTGTTTATTAATTTCCCCCAGTGAATACGTACATATGTAGGTGTGCAAATGTAAACATTCAACTGCCTATGTATGTATGTAAGCTTGTATGTAAATTTTAATGAATATTTTGTGTGTGTACAAGTACGAATGCACTCGAAACATGTGCTGCCCATAAACTTACTGTAATAATTTTTGATTAAGTGCAACAATATTCATAGTAAACAAAAATTTATTATAGCTATTAAAAAAATAAACAAATCAAAATATCGGTGAATGGCAGTCGAGTGAAAAACAATCGGTATTGTAAATTTTTATGAAACATTTGTATTGAATTTCCATTTTTTTTCCGAAAAACTCGTTTTTCATCAATTGTTTAATAAAGTGATATATCAGATTCAAGTGCAAAAATATAAATGTATACATATGTATCTATAACTATAAATGCATGTATCGAATTAACACGAAAATTAAGCAATTAAAATTTAGCATAGAGAAATTTCTGTATTCATCTCAATAGTCTATTGCTTGTGCAATTTATGATCAAGAATTGATAATTTGTTGGAAGTGAGATGTATGTATAGACATTTAGGTACATATGCCTTTATAAGTGCACACATTTATTTAATTTTTTTCGTTAGCAAATTCACATAAATGGCAATATGTATGTATACATATTATGTATGCAAAGCAACAAAGAAACAATCCAAGAATTGATTGCTCTTCAATTCATAAAAAAAATTATGACATAAAACAGGCAGAAAATATTTGGATAATACCTAAGTTCTATACGCGAAGAAATACATAAGTGTATTTTTTTATTTAGCACTTGAGAGACTAATCTACGGGTAATTCTAACACGCCCTTACCTATACCTCAATATGAAAATGCACACTCTCAAACATATTTTTTCTGTGCTAAGAATGTGAAAATTCATTGTGAGCTTTTTTGAGACAATTCAAAGACAGTAGGCAACGCGGTTTGAAAGATTTTTTTATTCTTAAACGAAAGTATTACAAAACAAAAGCTTTTAACTGAAAGCACTAGAATATGTTCCAAATGGAGATATATATACTATTTTTCTCGTGGTGCTGCAACAGACAAAATAGCCGAAGCTCGGATCCTCGGGCAGCAGATTTTTTTATGTAACTTTTTTTCTTTTTCAATTTTTCAAAACTTATATTCCTTAATTGAGTTTAATAATTAGAAATTTATTTTATATATATTTTGTTTGTGTTTTAATTTAATTATTTTCTTATTTTTAAATTGTATGTTAAAAAAATTAATTTGGTTTTATTCATAGAAATTTATTTTATTTTCCTTAGTAAGTCATTATATATTATTTGATTTTATTGTTTAAAATAGAAAAGTATTTTTTTGGTTTTTATTGCATTAAATGTTTAGCAACTTTTTCTAATTCTTTTAATATAATTTGGTTTTTCCTTTGTTTTATATAATTTTTTTTTTAATTTTTAGTTTTTATTATTTAAAGAACAACAAAATTACGCTGGGGCCTCCTCGTTAGCATATCCCTCAATTACTCTTTCAAAAGACAGAAAACAGCTTTCA